GATATCGATTATCGGCTACATGAGTTTTAAAATATCGGCATATCAGCCAAAATCCCAATATCGTGCATCCCTAGTTTCATACTTTAAGTAGTTTTAAAAATGGTACTTTTACACTTTTCCTGGAGTAAATAGCTTAAGTTGATCCTCTTACTTCTGCGAAACTGTTTTTAAACAGCAGGACTTATACTTCTACTTGAGTAATAAACATTGACGATTTTGACACATCTGGTCTAAACAAATTTACGTTGAAAAGTTTTTATTTTGTTTAAGTTTGCTTCAAAATTTTCTGCAATGAGCTCAGGAACATTTTACTTTTCTCTGAAATTAATTTCTTGAAAAAACCAAAGAATGAAGATGTGAAGTTAATGTTTTATTTTCTAGCTATGTTAATTATTAGAGCTGTTAAACCTGTGATCCAATCCAGAAACTGTAAAGACAGTCTGTGCCGTATGAATGCGTTGTCTAACAAGTTCTTGCCCCCTTTAGTGGGCACTTTGGTCAGGTTCGGAGGGTCCGGGAGAGGACATCCAAGACTCATTGGGCGGGAAAGTTCCTTAAGATTCGAAAAACCGCCTGCAGCCGTCTGGGTCTGGACAGGACCAGTGTGGAACGAGAGGTGGAGATCCTACAGGTTTTACACCATCCAAACATTGTGACCCTTAAAGACGTCTTTGAGAGTCGATCGGAGGTGGTGCTCATTCTGGAGCTGTAAGTATCCGTTCTTCTTCAAATGTTTTAGTTTTATTAGCTTTTGTCCGTCGCTTATGCTTTCTTACTACTATACAACTGCTATACTTTATCCTTGTTTCTGTCTTTATAGATATTATCTTTATTTACCACACAGGATAAAGAAGTTGTGGTAGAATCTTAGGCTACAGCCTAAGATTTGAAAGTAGTAAGAAAGCCTAAAAAAAGCTGTTTTCTAACAGATTAGACCTAATTATTATTATTATTATTATTATTATTATTATTATTTATTTATTTTTCTCTTTGTCTGTTTTTTTCCCTGTTCC